ACCCCTTCTTGATGCCAGGTTGTCCAGTACCCAGTTGGGAGGTCCCAGCTGGAGTCCAATTGCACCGCCGTAGGTGGAGGAAGTTACAGTTGATGCAACAGCCCTTTGAGTTCGCAAGCCCCAGGCCAATGTCCGGAGGCTTTGTGGAAGGGACTAATGGGGATTTTTGGAGCGCGACTTGCATCCAGTTGCCCTTCTGCGTTACAATATTTTGAAGCTTGAGGCTTGAAGAAATGTAATTCGGAGTTCTGGAGATTGAATTCCTAGGCCCTGACATGGCTGCAGGCACTCAGCATGCAGCCTGGACGACGGCACCTTTTTTTGAGTGGCAAAAGCAACCGATTCGGCAAAAGCAGGTGTGGTTGCCTATGTCCTGTCCATATCCTTCACAGCAGGTTTATCATTTCCCAATTTTTGCCTTGTTCATCAGCAGGTTCACTGTTACACAGACAGTCACTGCTGAAAGGCATTAATATTCATCCTTCTAATTTGAGCGGTGCCACCGTCACCCCCCCCACAAATCCACATTTGGCTATAGATTTGTCTATGGAACGACCAATTATCCCATGCGTCATTTGGTGGTTGTGAGTTGTAAGTGGGGGAGGGAAATTATAGATGAGCTTCCGCATTTCTTGGCCAGACTGTAGGGACTTGATTTGAACGCGCCTCAGACATGGTCAATGAATTTTGTTCGCATATTTGCCATTGTTTGTACAGCCTCTCTTTGAGTGGCCTGACCGGGCCTGTGCTCAATGATTTTTTTTCGCAAACTTGGCCTTGTTTGTACAGAGTCTTCGAGTGGCCTGACCGGCCAGTGTTCGAAATTCATATTGCCCAAACTGCTTAGATTGCCCAGCCCCGGCCCGTGGCCGCGCTGGCTGCAGAAATTCCAACAAGAGGTAAACAGCCCCGCATCGGCGCAGGGTTTCTTGGTTCCTTCCTCTGTTGATCCTTTTATCGGGATTTTTCGGAGCACCCCTGTCATTCACTTAGACAGCATTTCACGCGTCCTGGTAGGCAGTCACTGCAAAGAGCCAATGATTGTGGTGTGCTCTGTGTTTGCTGCACTTGTCAAAATGTGTTGATGATGCATGACCTTGGATCATCATCCTCGTCGTCGTCCTCGTCGTCCTCGTCGTCGTCGTCGTCCTCCTCGTCCTCATCATCATCATCATCATCATCAAGAAGAAGATCATGATCATCATCATCATCATCATCATAAAAAATTGTGACCATGATCATCACATGGCCATCTTTTTAATCACTGTTGTCGTTAACATCATGATCATCAAAATCATCGTCGTCGTCGTCGTCATCATCATCATCATCGTGATCATGATCATGATCATCATCATGATCATCATCAATCATAATCATCGTCGTCGTCATCATCATGGTCATCATCATAATCATTGTCGTTGTCATCGTCATCATCGTCATCATCAACATCATCAACAACAACATCATCGTGATCATGATCATCATCATGACCATCATCATTATCATCGTCGTCATTATCATCATGATCATCATCATCATAATCATCGTCGCCGTCATCGTCATCATCATCATCATCATTACCATCATCATCATCATCATCTTCATCATCATCATCATAATCATCATCATCACTATCACTTTCACCATCATCATCATCATCATCACCAACATCATCATCACCATCATCACCATCATCATCAGTAGCATCATCGTCATCATCACCATCATCCTCATTATACTCATCACCATCACCATCCTCATCCTCCTCCTCCTCATCATTATCATCATCATCATCATGCTCATCCTCATCATCACCAGAATCATCCTCATGCTCCTTCTCATCCTCCTTATCATCATTATCATTATCACTATCGTCAGCATCAGCATCATCATCATCATCATCATCATTTTCATCACCATCCTCATCATCACCATCATCACCATCATCACCATCATCCTCATAATCACCATCATCCTCATCATCCTCACCATCAGCATCATCAGCATCAACATCATCATCATTACCATTACCACCAGTATCACTATCACTATCACCATCACCACCATCATCATCATCACCATCATCATCACCCTCATCCTCATCATCCTCATCATAACCATCACCATCCTCCTCATCCTGATCCTTACCCTCATCATCATCATCATCATCATCATCATCATCATCACCATCATCATCATCAGCATTATCATCCCCATCCTCCTCCTCCTCCTCCTCATCCTTCTCCTCCTCCCTTCATCATCATCTTCATCATCATCATCATCGTCATTATCATCATCACCTTCATCATCATCATCATCATCATCATCATCATCATCATCATCACAATCATCATCACCATCATCATCATCACCATCGTCATCATCATCAGTATCCTCATCCTCATCATCATCATCACCATCATCATCATCACCATCACGGAGCACCATTCCCCTGGGGACATTACTGGCACATTACTGGGACATTCCCCTTCTTCTGGAGCCTTTTTGGATCCGGGATCCAATCCCCAGCAGGCGATCAGGACCGAGACATAAATCCCTGCCATGACTGGCTGCTGCAACGTCTTCAAGGTTGAGCTCCGATGGCCCGAGCAGGCTCCATTGGGCCTGGCCACACTGTTGGCTCAGGAATGTTCAGGAGAAGTCGTGATAATATGAACAAGGGAGAGAGATTTATGTCATTGCGTAAAATTGTTGCCGCAATCCAATGTCTTCTTTAGGCAAAGAGGGATTTCGATCAAAATAAAGTTTGAATATGTCACTTCGTGACCAAGTGTCGAAAGCTGCTCAGAAGTCCAGAATTTATAGATTACAGCAGACGTGCAATTTCTTCGACATAAAATTCAATATAATTAAACAATGTTAAACATGAGATTCGGCTCAGGCAGTTCTTGGGCGGTGGGTGGAATGAGACTCACTGCCGCCCTTGCTCACTGGTCGAAGAATCACATCCGTATGATTGAACGTACTATGCACATCTATGCACTAGATCTCCAATTCCAATCATAGCAATGACAAAGTCCATGGGCAAAAAAAGCGATGTGGAAGATTTCCCAATGCAACACTGTCAGATTTCTATATGCAAAGGTAGAGACCAAAGAATCGACGAGTTTTTTCACGAAAACTATAGTTTTTCTTAGCTGAAGTATACCTAGCAAGGTATTAGCAGGGGCTGCAATCGCCAATCGCATGAAACTTCACAATTAAGTATCCCCCCCGGCTTTTCCACAACCAGTTCTGCTTTGGCTCAAATCCCCAGTGCGGACATCGTCCCCGTATCGTCGTCAGCATCACCCTCCCAGCTCGCTTTCGTCTCTTACCCTTTGGCCTCAAGTTGGCTTAGCCAGATGCTTTTGGAACGCAATGATGGCAAAATTGCAAAAAGAGATGTATCGTTGAACAATTATCAGACTCGGGAAACAGGTGATAAAAACTAGGAAGGTACACCAGACTGATCAGGTGTGGTTTCACCAGCAATTGCTGCAATGGTGTTCGTAATCAAATGGTTGAATGACCAGGTCCTACCTGGAGAGCCTTATAGCCTCCACACTTGACTCTCCAGTCGAATAAAGTGTGGTTTTCCCCAACAGATTATTGAGAGAAGCCGGTTTAAGGGGGATATTCTCAAGGGTTTCTGATGCCGTCGATGACCGACAGACCGATCAGAAGTCAATCGGGGTGCCTGCACAATGGCTCACAGAACCCACTGGAGATGATCATGAAAGTATCTAATAACGAAAGTGGGCCACGGTGCAACCCTTGGGTTGCAATACTTGGGGAGTCTAAGTAAGAAAGAAACGATTTAAGGTTACCAGCTGTTGCACACACAAGCGCACACACGCACACACCTACATTTTGAAGGTTGCATCTTACTCACTGCGACGCATTTCTTTGATATTAGACTTGTTCCATGGGATCTTGGCCCCAACTTTCAACTACAGTATCAGTATAAGGGGTGCAACCTAGTCCCCTGTGGGCTGCAGCGCGCAGATAGCAACGTCGAATTGGTTCCCACCACTGGTCTACGCGATCTTCAACGGGCTCCTTGCGATGGTTTTTGTCGCATTTCTGATCATGATTCTCTCCGACAGCATCCCAGCACTTCGTCTTATTTAAACTAGCAGGTGCTGACCTTTTCTTTTGCAATGAGGCTAGGAAGGACCCACTGGCCATAGTGACAATTGACCGCTCAACAGCTCGGTGGATTGCCATATATTGCCATGCAGGCCCCATTCATCTCCCAAACCTTGCCAATATGCCAATATTTTCAGGACATTGGTGCATTCTGGCTCATTTACCTGACAAATTGGGCATTGATCGTGGAAACGATTGCTATGGTGATGCTTTGCATCTCCACCGCGTGGGGGTACGCCAAGTTGCCTGATGGCCCCTCGCAGGGAAAGGCTCCCCTCTTTGTTCGCTACACTGTGGCCTTGTGGTATATGATTCAGCCAACGTCATTGAACCTCGGACGCAACAACTTAAAATGATCTTAAATGCAGATGAAGCAATGATTAATGAAGGGTTGTTCTTTCATGTTCTTTCTAGGTTTGTGTGAATTCCATGTCCTTTTTTGTCCAGTCAATCAGCATTGAAAGACTTTGACTTCATGATTGCACTAACTGAGCAGGCTGTGCTGGACAATTTGTTTTCGATAGCTTTTGATAGGTGGGTGAGTTCTTGTGTATTGCAGTCGTTCGTTGCAGGTTCCAGCGATGCTAGGTGCTTGCTAGTCATTCCTTCATTCATGCAGCAATGCAGTTTTGCATTTGTATACTGAATAAGTCTGGGCAAACCTTAGAGAGGCCCTGGCAAAAAAAAACAAAAACAAATCCCGGCAAGAGACCCCAAACAGTGTGGGGGGGAGCGAAAGGATAATATATGATAATGTTGATGTTGATGTTGATGATGATGATGATGATGACGATGATGATGATGATGTTGATGATGATGGTGATGATAATGATGATGGTGAGGGTGAGGGTGATGATGGTGAAGATGATGATGATGATGATGATGATGATGATGATGATGATGATGATGATGATGATGATGATGATGATGATGATGATGATGATGATGGTGATGGTGATTATGGTGAGGATGATGGTGATGGTGAGGATGATGATGGTGAGGATGGTGAGGATGGTGAGGATGAAGATGATGATGAAGATGATGATGATGATGATGATGATGAGGATGAGGATGAGGATGATGAAGTGGATGATAAGGTGGAGGACGATGATGTAGAGAAGGAGGAAAATGTTGATGTTGATGAGGATGAACGGTGATGATGATGATGATGATGAGGATGAGGATGAGGATGAGGATGATGATGAGGATGATGCGGATGATTTGATGATGATGATGCTGCTGATGATGATGATGAAATGTGGAGGATGATGATGTAGAGAAGGAGGAAGATGATGATGTTGAGGAGGATAATGTTGAGGAGGAGGATGACAAGGATGAACATGTTGCGGGAGATGAGGTTGATGATCATGATGTTGCGGAAGACGAGGTGGAGGATGATGAGGTTGAGGATGATGATGTCAAGGGAGAGAAAGATGATGATTTGATGTTGAGGAGGAGGAAGATGATAATGTTGAGGATGATGAGGTTGAGGAGGAAGACCGGTCCCAAGACCGGGAAACACACTTTGTGCGAGCCTGAGTGGTCCAAAAGCATGTCCACATGTCACAAGAGACATCAGAAGAGCCACTTTAGACGGAAATTTACAGGAAAAATGCGGCGGCCCAGATTCGGCCCAGAACGCAGACGAAGACTTTGTGCGAGCCTGCGCAGTCGAAATGCATGTCCACAGGTCACATGAGACATCACTATACCCACTTTATACGGAAATTTACAAGCAAAATGCCGCGGCCTAGGTGGGGCCCAGAACGCAGACACACGTTGAGCGAGCCTGCGCAGTCGAAACGCATGTCAAGATTTCACAAGAGCCACTCTATCCGGAAATTTACAGGTAAACTATGGTAAAATGCCACAGACCAGAGTGAGCACCCTGGTCAAGCACCGGCCTGTACAGCTACCGCAAGAACCCCTCAGTGTGGACACACTGTTTGGGGAAATATTTACTGTTGTTCCATTTCATTCCCCTATTTCAGTGACCAGGGCTTCCATTAGAACTGGTGGAGACGGCCAGACATCCTGACATCAAACATTCAAAAACTTTGAAAACATCTCGCACATTCTCAGCGATCAATTTCTTGACGTTTTCGTTGCAACCGTGGTCGATTCACCCAAAGCACAGACTGCGATCGGATTTCTCTCAGCTGCCAATGGGTAAGGCTCTGGAAAGGGGCGCGGAAGTGGCCAAAAGTGTGGTTTTTGTTAGTGTGAAACAAATCACTTGTGGGGGTCACTAAGTTCAAGGTGGTCAAACCCCAGCTAATCAGCTGAGGATTGTGGTGATTTTGCTTCTTGGCGTGAACGAGGTCGCAGGTGGCAAGCGGTCTTTGGATTGGGTATGTTGGTGGAGCGGTTTGATATACAACAGGTTTATGGAAAAGGGTATTGTCGCTCGAAAGTCAGATCCGGTGGGTTCCGCCAAAATCTATTATAAGTTGCTTTCCCTAGGTATGTGGTTCCCACTTTATTATATCCAATTGAGCCGAAACTGAACCCCGAAACGCTTTTGAGCACACTTGCCGGAGTAAACTACCTTTCAACCCATTATTGAAAAGTGTTCATGAAGGCTGACCGCCAATGTTGAACTCATTGGGATGGCCATGGAGGGAAAGTCTCTTTGCACACAGTTTGCTCTGCTATGTTTTTGCTGTCAAGGGGGTCACCTTTGGCAAAAGGCATCCACAGTTACCAGATACCAAGCTGAGTGTCTTGTATTCTGACTGTATTCCAGTTTCCCCATTGTTTCCATGTTCCCTCCTAGGCTCAGCCTCTCAATGCTTTGGAATTTAGCCCGCAAGAAGCATGTTTGTTCTGGGATTTTCTCGCATTTCCAGGACCTCAAAGCTTGAAAAATATAGAGAACCCCAGGATCCAACCCCTCAGAATCCCTTGGGTCATCTTGGATCGGCATTGAGGTACTGGACCCTCATTAATCCACTTTGGGATTTACAGCCTGTTGATCTCTTGGGTCTGTGGGCGCATTTGCTGAACTGGCTGTGTCTTTTGCTCAGTTCCCTGGACCCAGATGGCAGGGTGGAGTTGATCCTTGATCAATGGACGTATGAAATATGGAGACATATGGGGACACATCCGGCTCACGGCACACATCATGGTCATCAGATGTCATCAGGATAGCCTGTAGCCATACATTGACACTTTTGCTCAACCTTTTCTTGCCTTAGAAGGCTTAGATCAACTATCACCGTATCACCCGTAGAAGATTGATAATACAGAGGGGAGGAACAACAACGAAGTGATGGAGACAAGAGTTGGAACGATGTTGATCAGTTATTGATATGGGGCTTGGATGTGAGTGACATTTAGAATAGCCCGTGTAATCTTGGGCATGGATACTATTGAAGATACAAAGTCAAAGATATGGAATGTTTTCCCAAACCGTCACCATACAATCACAGCACCAGATTTTCG